ATCTGTCTCATGTCTTGTTTGATTATTATACCAGCCAGAAAAACCTTGAGAGTAGAAGTTTGTTCCTTCCTCATAAGAGAATGAGTCATAATTAAAATATACAATAGGTCACTTTGTATTTGGGTAAAAGAAAGTGAACAGTATCTCTTGCAGGTTTTTCATATCCTAAGGTGATTACCATAGTGACCTATACTTAGTAAGGGCTCAACAAATCAACAGATTGAATGTACAATACCGGTAATCTCAAATGTAGTCCAAAGAATGGCATTGAAAATTCTTGCGGAGCCCTGGCTGGTGTGGGCTGAGCACAGGTCTGCAGACTGAAAGTTTGCAGTTCCATTGCCAGTCAGGGCACATGCCTGAGTTACTGGCCAGATCCCCAGTTGGGGGTGTGCGAGAGGCAAAAGATCAATGTATCTTTCATGCATTTATGTATCTCTCCCTCTCTTTCTCCCTCCCCCCTCTCAAAAAATAAATAAATAAAATATTTAAAAATAAATAAAATACCTATAAGATTCAGTTAAAGCAGTCCTTAGAGATGTATACTCTTAAATGCTTATATTAGAAAATAAGAGTCTGAAAGTTGTTGAGCACCTAGCTGAAGAAATTAGAAAAAGATAAAATAAAAAAATACAAAGAAAGTAAAAGGAAGGAAATGATTAAGAAAAAAAAAATAGCCCTGATTGGCGTGCCTCAGTTGGTTGGGCACTGTCCTGCAAAGTGAAAGGTCAGGGCACATGCCTAGGTTGTGGGTTTGGTCCCTGGCTGGGGCTTGTACCTGTACAAGAGGCAACCAATCAATGTTTCTCTCTGTCATTGATCTTTCCCTCTCTTTCTCCTCCCCACGCTCTCTAAAAATAAATAAATAAAATTTTTAAAAAAGAAAAAATTAATCAACTAGAAAACAAAGATAAAAGGAAAATAATTTTTTAAAAGCCCTGAGTATTTAAAACACTATTAAAAATGACAACCTCTGGCAAGATGGAGCAAAAAAAAAGAAAAAAAAAGAAAGAAGGATGAAAACAAATACATTAGAAATTTAAAAGAGAAAATACTAGAAACAATTGTATGCCATTTAGTTGGGAAGCACACAATGAAATAATTCATTGAAATTTCAACTTAAAACTAATTCAAGAAGAAATAGAAAGCTGAGATAGTCATATATATTTTTAAATAATTGAATCAGTAGATAAAAATCTTCATACTCATACCAAGACATATGCACATTTAGTCTTCCAGATTTAAAGAAATAAGGTTATTTCAATCTTATACAAATTAGTCCAGAGTATAAAAAAGGCAAAATTTCTTTATCCATTTAATGAGGCTCAAATAGTTGAGATTCTAAAGCTGTAAGAAAGGAAATATAAGAGATTAATCTTGCCCATAAAAAGGGGTACAAAAACCCTAAACAAAAAATTAGCAAGCAAAATTCATGAGTGCCAGTGGACCAAAGGAAAAAAAAAACCCACAATCCAACTATGCTATCTGCAAGAAACCCCCTTTAAATATAAGTTTCATAAGGGAATTTCTTTTTTAATGAGCAAAATGAGTTTATACAAAATGGTTTAATACTAGAAAAATCTATACACACACTTTATCCCATTAACATATTAAAAGAGAAAAATCAAATCATTTCAATGGATGCAAAAAGTGTATTTGATAAGGTTCAAAATTCATTAATGATTAAAGTTTATAAAATTTTTATAGCAAAATAGGTATAGAAGGGTGTTTCTTAACCTGAAAAAAAAAGTATATACCAAAAATCTTTAGCAAATATCATTTTTAATGATTAAGAATATTAGAAACATTCCTTCTCAAATTAAGAAAGTTGATACTGGCCTTGGCTGGGTAGCTCAGTAGGGTAGAGCATCCTTCCCCACACACCACAGTTGTGCAGTTTCATCCCGGCCAGGGCACATACAAGAACCAACCAATGTATGCATAACTGAGTGGAACGACAAATACATGTTTCTCTCTCCTTCTCTTCTCTCTCTGCCCTCTCCCATTCCTCTCTGTCTAAAACCAATCAATAAAAATAAATCAAATGGCAGATTAAAGAAAAGAAAATCTGAAAATCTAAATATAAAAAGATAAAAAAATCTCACTACCAATCAGGGAAATTTACAAACTAAAACAGGTTAACATATTCCATCCAGGAGGTCAGCAACATAAAATATTTAGAAAAATGGGGTAATATGACTGTTATGAGCTTGTGCAAGTGTAAATTAGTATAATTAGGCCTTTTTTAGTAAGATTGAAGAAAAACATCCTTGCTCTAGGACCCAGAGATCCCTACTCCAGGAAAACATCCTAGAGAAACTTTCACTTTGATACCTACATAATTGCCCATTGCTGCAGTGTTTGAAAGAACCTACCCATTCCTTAGAAAAGAAATGAACTTGGAATAATTTATAAATGAATTCTGCAAAGGAGCCCAAAAGTATGTATAAATATAGAATAAATCTCAAAAATAAAGTGGAGTGAAAAATGTATCTGTTATTTTATTAAATTTTAAAAATTAAATATATATCTAAGATAACTAGAACTTGTTATATGTTTGCGTTGTTTGCATGCAAACAGGAATGGTCTGGAAGAGTGAGAGAAATTCAGGAAAGAGGAGAATCTAAAGAGTAAGCTCCTTGAGAAGGTGAGTAGGGAGAGGTTCAAAGGGGAAGGATGGAGCTTTCTAATAGCTTGCTCTTAAAATATCTTTGGTGGTTAGCTAACTTTGAGATTTGGGATAAGTAAGGTGAGGCAGTGGAAGGGAACTTCTTTCTCCAGGTAACTTTTTGCCACTTAAACAAACAAATAGGTAGTAAATAAATTGTAAGAGAAAATACAAGAAAATAAAATCCAGTCCATAGCAATGTTCAGAGAATTTAAAGTGAGGCTGTTTCCCCTCCATTAAAAAAATAACTTTAAACTCATCTAAAAACCCCAGCCAAAGTGCTGCCTGATTTACTCATCTCTTTATGTAAGTGTAAGTATTTAAGCTAAATTAAAAGCTAGAGCCCAGCCCTGGCTGGTGTGGCTCAGTGGATTGAGTGTAGACCTGCAAACGAAAAGGTTGCTGGTTTGATTCCCAGTCAGAGCACATGCCTGAGTTTCAGGCCAGGTCCCCAGTTGGGGGCAGGCAAGAGGCAACCAATCAGTATATCTCTTACACAATGATGTTTCTCTCCTAGTCTTTCTCCCTCCCTTCCCCTCTCTCTAAAAAGAAATAAATAAAATCTTTAAAAAAAATAAACAAAAGCTGGAGCCCAGTTGTGTAGGCTCAATTTGGAGCTCAATTCTGTGTCTGTGGTGTGCTAGTGCAGCCCTGATGAGTGAAAGGAGAACTTAGTCCGCTAGGTGTTCTAAGCTTCTGAAAACTACAATTTCAGTAATGCACTCTAGCAGGGGCTGTTTCCAATGAAGAAAAGACATGGGAGTGTCTGAGGGGGGAAAGTTAAAAATCATAAATAAGAAATAAAATGGCATCACTTTAGTCAAACTGTAAAATTACTAACATAAGTAGACTGAGGAAAGAGAAAACAATTCTATTCCTGTTTTAACTAGCTTGGGGACTTAAACTTTTGAACTTTTTAGTTCTGCATCAATGCCTGAATATACATCAGACCTCCAGCTAACCCTCTGATCACCCCTTGAAGGACCAAGGAAAGAATGTATCCAGGCCACCTGGCATCCAATATCCAGACCACTGGTCATCTAGAGGATACTATCTCAGACCAATCCAGGGGCAAAGGATGCAGGACTGATTCTTCTTAAGGATGTACTTTTTACCCTACTAACCCTTTTCTTCAGCAGTTGAAACTATTTCTAACTGCTTTTTCTGATTGCACAAATGCAATCAAGAAGTCACTGTGTGAGGCGGTGGAACGAAGGTGTGTAGGATGGGAAAACGGAAAGTCTCTCTGAAAACAAGAATAAAAGTGTTTCTAATTTAACAGAGTATGTATCTTCATGAGCATTAATGTAAACATGTGTTTGAAACTTCATGCAACAGGGTGTCCCTTGGAAATTCTTCCTTTAATTTTCTGTTCATCTTTTTACTTCGCAAAAGGGTTGTTTCCACAATGTCCACTGCTAAGCGGTATTTTCAGAGTTGAGTTTGTTTTATGCCATCTATTTGATAGGGAAACTCAAGTTAAAGATTTTAGCCTTAGTTGGTAGGCTTAAGTGATTAACACATGTGGTAAGCTGTGACTCCAAAAGGTCGACCAGCAACTCAACCTTTGTGCCCCAAAGGGTCTGCAAGCCAAGGAGAGGGTGTGTGAGCCATTGTGTTCTCAGGAGAGAATGCCCATGTTGCAGATAAACAATTGTCGATCAACAGATAAAGAAGTACTAGGAAAATCGCCACCAAACTACAACTCTTGTCCAATTAACCTTTTCACATATCCTTACCTACCCTTTCTTCTTATAAAAAGGTCGGCTTGAATTGAATTGAGGTTTTTGAGAATACACAGCCCACCCTCTTCGCAGATCTCCAGCATCTGAATATGGATTGCTGACTTTTTGGTTTCACAATCACCTATGGCTGGGTGGTGAGCTGCACAGGTACAACTCAGTTGATTTTTTAATCTCTTAACTCTTGAAAAGACATTCTGAACTTCCTTTATAATGTAAGTAAATTTTGGCGGGTATATATATATATATATATATATATATATATATATATATATATAGACAAAGTCTGTAACTCTCAAATATGTTCCAAAGAGTTGGTGGCTCCGGAGAATCCAAGGCCCCCAGCATTAATATAAACTTCTCTTCAACCACGTCCAGCTACTCTGTCCTGGCTTCCGCTCTAGGGTCAGAGCTGGCGGCGTCCTCGGGGCAGGGCGGCCCAATCCGGGCAGTCATCCGAGGAGCGACTTCCAGCAGGGGTCGCTGCGCTACCTCTCCCCCTGTCCAAGCGCTCCGCCCGGCCGCTCTCCCCGTGAGGGCGCCGACGGAAGGGGCGGGGCACGGGTGGGGCGGTGCCTGGAGGCCGGAGGTCGGCGCGACGGCGGGGAGGGAGGGGGGAGGAGCGGCTCTGACGTACAGGTAACTGCGCCCCTGCCGGGCGCGCTGCGCCCACCGGCCCAAACCCCCTTTCTCTTGCTTCACCGCGCGCACTTGTGAAACAGGGGTTTTGCGAGTGCCTCTGCCCTGTCCGCGCTTCTGCCACATGTCCGCGTGAGTCTCCCACGTCCTGTCCCGGCCCGGTCAGTTTCGGGACGCCCGTGGGGCCGAGATTGTCTGCCCCTGAGCCCGGCACCTGCTGCTGTCTCCGGAAACAGATCGGGAGCTCAAGGACGCAGGTGTCCAGTTTCCCTTGACCTTGAGGACCCAGGAAGGTGCGCAACCACCTGGGGTGGGTACGGAGCGAGGGGAACCCGACCCCCTCTCTGCACTACGTCCGCCTCTGAGGGCAGCAGGAAGGAGGATTTTCAATTGCACTAGACCTAGAAGCAGTTAGACCAGGCTCTCCTTCCGGAGTAGTGAACAGGCGCGGGAACGTGGATCTATACCCGCACGTCCATGGCAGCGTTGCCTCTTACAGCCTTCGGTTAGTTCACAGATTTTACATCTTTCCTAAACATCTCACCCGAAACTGCCAGCTTCCGACCCCGATTACCCCTGTGCTCACGTCCACGTGGTCGCCAAGGTAATCTAAAATGCACTCTGATCCGGTCAGTTCCCTACGTAAGACCTTTCATGGCTCCCATGCCCTCTGGGTCAAGTCCAAGGACATCTTAGGTATGCAAGGCTCTTGGAGCTCTAGCTTCTTGCCCATCAATCCAGTCCCATTTTTGTTCTTTTCTGAAGGCACTGGAATGCTCCATTTCTCCTGATCTACTTCTACAGTAATTAAGCACTTACTGTGTGCCAGGCACTAGTCTGAGCACTTAGGATTCAGCAGAAGATGTAATACAGGTGAAGATCCCTACCCTTGTCTAGTTCATATTCTACTAGGGGAAACAGGCAAAAAATAAAAACCACCAGTAATTACATAATATGGTAGCAGAAAATAAGAGCTATGGGGGAAGAAAAGAGAGCAAAGTAAGGGGAGATTGGGAGAGGGCGATGCCTATTCACTAATGAGTCGGAATGAGTAGACCTCACTGGAGTGAAGATGAGTTATCCAGGCAGATGCCTGCAGCAGGAGTATTCTAGGCGCAGCTGGCACAAGGGACTCTGCCCGGGAACGTGTGTTGTGATGAGGAGCATCAGGAAGGCCAGCGTGGCTGGAGCTGAGGGAGCAAGGGCGAGAGAGCAAATGGAGATGCCAGATCACAGCCTTTAGACCATGGTAGGGATTTTGCTTTGCTCCGCTTTGAGGGAAATAGTGACTTGGTGTAAATTACTTTGTAAAAGAGTCACTCTGACACTATGGAGAACAGACTCTGACAGCCTTTGTAGTGGTCCTGGTGATAGACGATGGTGGCCTGAATTGCTGTGGTAGCAGTGGAAGCGGCAGGATACTGGACTTGATTTCCTGACATAATACATGCGGGTATGAGGGAAGGGGAAGAGTCGAGAATGACTGGAAGCTTTTGCTCTCAGCTCCTAGAAGGCTACTAGGGTCATTGCCTGAGGTGGAGAAGGTGGCAGATAAAGATTTGGGACTGGGACTACATCAGGAGTTCGTTTTTGGACCAGTTGTTTGAGGTGCCTGTTACTCAAATGGAGACAGTGAACAGGCAGTTGGATATTGTGTCAGGGGTCCCCAAGGCCACTCCCAGATTCATTGATTGATTAGGAAGACTTAACAGGACTCAGCTGTGGGTCTCAGCAAACGGATACAAAGCACAGTGAGCAGTGGAGAAGATGCATGGGACAGCCTGGAGGAAGCAGTCTTCCAAACCAAGAGGCCAAGAGCAGTCATAGAGGACATGCTCAATTCCTCCAGCAGCAAATTGTGACAACATTATGTGAAATGTCTATCAGGAAAGCTTATTGGAGACTCAGGACGCAGGGTTTTAATTGGGATTTAGTCACATAGGCACCCTCTACTGAGAATGTACCAAAATTCCAGACTTTGAAAAGGAAAACGGGTATTCAGCCTAAATCAAATGGTTTCTACCAGCAGTTCAGGCACAGTGCGCCCCTCCTGTCAGTCCTGGGAGTGGTGAGGACCCCCCGAAATCCAAGGTCCCAGCCACTAGCCGAGGGCCGCCTTGCAAGCAGACCTTTCTAAGGGTAGTGATCTCCGGCCTGCTAGATTAACTCTCTTCTGCACAGATATACAAGGCTGAAATTTGGAAGGAAGGTCCAAAATAATGACAGAGATCAGGGAGTCGTCGGCATATAGGTGGCATTTAAAGCCATGGAAATGTGTCTTGGTGTGCATTTGTCAGAACTGATAGATTGAGCTGAATGAAGTGAATGGAGAAGAGGATCGGACTGAGCCCTGTTGCCCTCTGACATTAAGGTGTCGGGGAGAAGAGAAGGAAGCAGCGAAGAAGTCTTGAATAGCAGCAGCGGGCAAGGTAGGAAGTGAACCAAGAGTGAGATGTCCTGGACGCCAAATGAAAAAGAAAAGAGTGATTAGTTGTTTCAGATGCTGCTGAGAAGTCCGATAAGATGGGGACTAAAAAATGAACTTTTGGATTTAGAAAATGAGAGGCATTGAGCGTATACACAACCCTTTTGAGGAATTTTGTTGTAAAGAGGAGCAAGAAAGAGGTAGCAGTTTAGGGGCAGTGGGGTTTTAGGAGAGGGTTTTGTCAGTCTGTCTGTTTCTGAATGAGAAATAGTGGCACACTGATGAGAATGGTCCACCAGAAAGTGAAAAATTATGGTTGTAACTTGCTGTTTCCCCCAAGCTTAGTTTCAGGCCACTTTTGCCATCAGAACTCGCCTCCAGCCTCCCTGCTCTAGGCTCCAGCCTGTGCAGGGCCAGGCGCCTCTGGACCTCAGCTTGCGTGTTATGCTCTCTGACAGCCAGTTTGCTCAGCACATTCCACTTCGACGGGCAGTTTCTTGAGGACAAGGACTGTGTTTTACGTGTAGACCTAGCTGTCCACTTGGCGTATGCGGGCAAATGAGTGATGAGTGGATGTATTAATAGGTAGGATGCTCATTTCACTTCTTAAAAATGGATCTTCAAGTATGCACTGGTTTTTATATGTGTTGAGCAGACTGGGGATGGGAGTGAGGAATGGAGCACAGTTCCTGCCCTGTCACTACCCTTAGAGCCACTATTCTTGGGACATAGAATAGTAGAAAAGACAGCATTGGCACGTGAGTTTGGAAAGGGCACAGGGAGTGTGGGCAGGGAAAGGTGGAAGTTTTTGCCTGGAGCCTGGGAGAGAGGAGGCCATATTAAAAGGACAGAAACCTTTTTTTCGGTAGTGGAACCCTTATTTTCCAGTGAAGTACAAGGAACCCCAGTATTCACCATCATTGCTGTTCTGGTTGAAGAGGGTCTGGGCCTGCTTAGCCCGCCCCTCTGGCTTGCCTGCTCCCCATACCACTGTGATTCAGAGCTCTGGGGCAGAATCTGGGTTCTGACACTCCACCCCTGTGGCGCTGAGTGTGCATGCTAACATCTACAAGTGGTCATCACTGCCAGCAAAAATTAGGTTAATGTATTTCCTCCATTTTATGTTTATAAATTTTATCTAAACTTCAGCATTTACCGACGTATGCTTGCTAGGGAGTGAAGCAAATTAGCATGGGAATAACTAATAAATAATGCTTGGCTTGCCATTTTGGTTATGTTTATTGTAATTACATATGATTGTGATTTTAAAATCATTTTGTGCTAGTAAAAGTTTCCTAGTATAGGGAAAGATAACTATTTGTGGTGTATGTGGAGAGCACCGTAATATCCAGGCATTTCTCACAGAGACAACAGTGTGGTACAAAGGCAGGACTTCAGGAGGCGGTGTGGGGAGACCAGGGACTGACCTAGAGACAGAGCTCCCCTCCCCCAGGATGTCTAAGTAGGGGCGACACTTCCAGCCCTGAAACTCTCCATTGTCTCTAGTATTACAGTCAGTGAAGGTTAGCATTTGTTCAAAAGGAAACGAGAAATGTCACAGGGTAGCAGAAAGAGAGTGGTTATGGAGTTAGAAGATCGGAGGGAGGTGCAGCATGGCGGTGAAGAGCCTTGATTAGGAGCCAGCAAGCCTGGGTCTGAGTCCACCTAGAATCTGAGTGACCCTGTAACTTAGATGGGCTTGTTGGCAGGAATAAATGAGTTAATATGTAGAGCAGTGCCTGACCCATAGTAATCAATGCATGTTAAGGCTTGGCATTGGAATCCTGGCTGTATCACTTACTAGCTGTATAACTGAGCAACGTGTTAAATTGCTGCAAGTCTCGTTTGTACTCTTCTGTAAAATGAGGGACTGGCACAGAATTATTCCTGAGAGGCTGGCTGCCTTTGTCATCTCAGCAGACGCGTACAGCTCTGGGAGTACTGCTAATTGGGGTGGAACATGCCGCCAGGTCCTGAGCTCCGAGGCATACACATGGCCTTTGGCATTATACCTGATCACAAAAATAACTTGCTGAAGTCACTTAGACCAGTGTTTTTAAACTTTCTGTTTATGTGATCCAGAGTAAATACATTTTACTTGATGACCCTGTGTGTGTGTGTATGTGTATATGTGTATGCGTGCAAATGTAACCTCCATAACGTGCCTCATTCATGCCAACAAAATTAAGGACCAAAATGTTAAGAAATATAATTTAGAAGTAGCTAACTATGTGCTATTGAGTGGGCTTACAAGTACTTGCTCTTTGTTGTCAGCTTTGTGATGAATGCAAAGTAGGAAGGAAAAATCATGTGAATCATTATCAGATCTGTCTGAAAGTATAGCCTTGGCGCAAAGGAAGGTCATTCTCAGACTTGAAGTCTGTATGAGATACTGACCATGTGGCAACTCTCCTCGCATTACTAATCATGGTGTTAAAACCATCCTGATGGACTTGGGAAAGTCTGCCACTATCATAATAAGAGTTTCTGCTGCCTTTGAGGTAATGTAGGAACTATCTGCTCTCTGGCATGTCAGCACCTCAGTGCCTCAGGAAACAGTTACCTAGACTGTGGGTCTCTGAGTCTCTGAGCCTCTTCCTTCTCTGCTAGCCAGTGCCTCTGCTAAGCAGTGGAAGAAGATGTAAAAGGAACTGAAGTGCACATCTGTACAGTTGGCTCATTCCAGCTTTGATTTGCTGGGGCTGGAGGTTGAAATAAAGTTTAGAGATTCACTCTGGGTTTTGTGAAGTCATGATCTGATGTCCGTCCTTGACTAAGTCAATATTAAAGGACGTAACATATATCAGTAAATAGTCTTTCCATGAGATTTTTTTTTTAAGGTTTTATATTTTATTTTTGGAGAGAGGGGAAGGGAAGAAGAAAGAAAGGGAGAGAAACATGTGCCAGAAAAACATCAGTATGTGGTTGCCTCTCATGCACCCCCTACTGGGGACCTGGCCCGCAACCCAGGCATGTGCCCTAGATTGGGAATCGAACCAGTGACCCTTTGTTTTGCCGGCGGGTGCTCAGTCCACTGAGCCACACCAGCCACAGTGAGATTTCTTTTTTTTTTTTTTTTTTAACAAATTATCTAGAACCATTGTTAATATTTTTCGGTAGCAATCAGCACCAAGCTAATTTGGGGTTTGGAAAGAGTAGAACCAGTGTTTTCACACATATTAGTATCTACTAATTAGTTCAACTCTCATGACCAGCCTGTGAGGTAAGCATGTTAATTACAGCTTGAAGATTCACTGGTATAGTGCATGGCCCTCCCTATATGCAAACCACTATGGCCTTTTGTAGGGGAACTTAAGTATAGCACTAGATATAAAGAGTCCATGGTATGTGCGGTTTATGTTGTAAGAATGCCAGGACACTGCATTTGCGAAGTAAAACTGCATTACTGTGCGTTGCAGGTTATGCGCACCATGGCTATGACTAGTGTCGGACTGCCCGCCCGTGTTTTAAGAAAAGCGCGTGCCTGGATTGGACTCTGGGGAGCAGTACGAGGGACACCTTCACACAAGTGCTGTGCTTCCTGGAATCGATACTTGTATTTTTCTAGTACCAAATTAAATGCATCAAATTATAAAACACTTTTCCATAACATTTTCTCACCGAGACTCCCAGGGCTTTTACTGTCTCCAGAATATATTTTCCCATTTTCTGTAAGACTCAAAAGTAACATAAGCTCTAAAAAATCCACTAAAAAGACTCTGCAAAAAGTTGAAGACGAAGAGGACTCTGATGAAGAGAGTGATCGTAATGAGATGAGCGAGCAGGAAGAGGAGCTCGACGATGACCCCAGTGTGGTCAAAGACTATAAAGACCTGGAAAAAGTAGTGCAGTCTTTTCGATATGATGTCATTCTCAAGACAGGCCTAGATGTTGGAAGAAAGTAAGTATGATGTGTATTTTATTACAAAATCACTTGTCTTGTTGGTTATTTTAATGTAGCATTACCAATCAGTAGGCCCATATTATGGTGAAGAATAACCATAAATAAGACCTTATAGGAAATCTGCTTCAATTATTTCATTGAATAGATGAGTAAATTGATTCCCAAAGAAGTTAAGTGACAGCCTGAAAATCTCATGTGCCATATATTCTTGTTTCTAAAACTCCCTTAAGACCGTAAAACGAACCATTGATTCTATGTTAATAACACCTTTAGGAGAACAGGAATCGCCGTGTAAGATGCATGTAGCAAGCATAAAATGTGTCGGGGTTTTACAAATGCTACAGTGTGAAAAAAATATCCCTTAGAATCAATGGCAGCAGTATAACATAGTGGCTAAGAATGGGGCTCTGCAGCCAGGCTGCTGATACTCCAGTCCTGATCCTGCGTGTGACCTTGGACATAAATTCTCAGTGCTTCATTTTCCTTATCTGTAAAATGGGGATAATAGAACCTACTTTAGAAGGTAGTTGGTAGGATTGAATGAGTATTTCTCTAGGTATCTAAAGCATTTATAGCAGTGCCTGGCACCTATACTGAGTAAGTACTCAGTATATGTTACTTGTGATGATGAAAATACTGCCCAGGCCAGGTGGTTCTGACGGTTGAAACATCGTCCTGTGCACCAAAAGGTTGCATGGTTTGATCCATGCTCAGGGCACATATAGGGGTGAGTGGGCAAGGAATTGATGTTTCTCTCCCTCTCTCTCTCTTCCCTCCCTCATTCCCTCCCTCCTTCCCTCCCTCCATCCCCCTTCCTGTCTCTGTAAAATCAATAAGCATATACTCAAGTGAGGATTAAAAGAAAAAAGTACTGTGTGTTCATATAGAGCACACAGAGATATTAAGTATAATTTTCAAGTTTCTTGATTTTAGAGGGCTAGAGAGATACATCGACGTGAGAAACATTGATCCCTCCTGTGCACACCTGGACAGGGTTCAAACCCACAATCTAGGTATGTGCCCTCACCTGGAATCAAACCTGCAACCTTTTGGTGCACAGGACAACACTCCAACCAAACTGAACCACCTGCCAGGGTTCAAGATTTCTTTTAATATTCTTTTTCCTTTTTTTTTAAAATGCAGATTTATTTTATTTTTTTAAATGTGAAAATCCATTATAAAATATTAAAAAACGAATCCGTTATAAAGTTTCAGCAGTTGAAACAACATGACACCAGCACAGAAATAATCAAGTAGAACAATGAAATAAAATGAGCATTCTAGAAACAAACGTAAAATATTATCATCCTCTCCTACACTAATTATATAAGAATAGTGACCTTCATCTCGTTCATTCATTCCTGTAGCAATCATTGTGCACATACTGTATGCAAGGTAAAAATTGTGGTATAAATGATAAATTCAGAAAGATCTCCTTGTGTAACTTGTTACTTTATGACCTAATTTAATGGCATAGTTTAATTTTTCAATCTTTGAAGCTTAAGGACTCCTAAAAGTGACTCTGAGCCCTCAGGCAACACGATTGGGATTCGTTAATGTTCTCTAATATCTGGCCAACTCGTACGGGGTTCTCTCCCTCCCCCAGAGTAATAGCTGCTGCTACTATTATTAAGGAGAACCTCATATGTCAGTCACCTGGAATCAGAGCATCAGGAAGAAAGGGCACTGATTTTTTGTCTGCATCCTGCCCTGGTCTACTTGCCCCAATGATTAAATTCTGAGAGATCAGCAGCTTCTGGATTGGAGTTTCCCCAAACGCAGTGCAGACTAGTAGAGGATTTCTTAATGACCCCAGCATGTGTGTGGTGCCTCGTTTTTTTCTCAGAGCACAGAGCAGGTGTGTGAAGGGAAGGGAGCAATCGCGCTTTGCTGTGAATCACAGGAGCCACCACAGTGCAGGGAGCTGCCGCACAGGGAGTCAGGTGGAGGACCCAGGCCCTCTCCTGAGCAGGGCAGGTGCTTGTGCTGAGTTCCCTCAGAAAGCCCCATCAAGGTACTGATGGCCTGCCTGACTAGCAGATCTTTGCAGCAGGTCATCATCTGTCCAAGAAGTACCCTTGGTCTCCCTGTTCTAGATACATGTGGGAGCAGCTGGCTTGCACTTTCCCAGCACCCAGACTGAAGATTTTGTGGGGAGGTAGGTCATTGTCAGAATGAGCATTAATGGCAGGTGGGTTTCTCAGACTTGTATAATGGTTTTCAATATATTTCTATTTTAAAGCACTGTGACTTTTTTTTTTTTTAAAGCAAAGTGGAAGATGCATTCTACAAAGGTGAACTCAGGCTGAATGGGGAAAAATTATGGAAGAAAAGCAGAACGGTGAGATATTAAGACAGCCAGATATTTTTGTCTGTTGCTTTGCCAATACTCAGTTAATGCTGCCCCCAGTTTCGGGCTCCTTACTTGGAGCATGCCTGTGTCTGCCTTACCACTTCTGAGGTCTCCCTGGGGCCTGGTCACGTTGGCATCACCAGCCGGCCTCAGTCACGCAGATCACTTGCTCTTTTGCAGCCACCGTGACTTTGAGATGAAACTTCCCCTTTTTTCTTTAAAATTTTAAGATGACAGTCAGAACTGACAAAAATCTAATATTTAAGCTCCTTAGTCATTAATGTTAGTCACTATGAAATGATGATAATCAGGCTAAAAAGAAACACTTGATCTACGTAGAGGTTCTTTGGCCTGCTGCTCCCCGAGCAGATGTGTAATTCTGCGCAGGCCAGCAGTACACCCCTCCCCCAGTGCCTGTGGGTACATGGTACATGTTTTCTGAAAGCTCCGTGTCAGTACTACTGTTAGTGAAGAAGTCACTTAGAAGTGTTGCAAGAAAATGTATTTCCAGTATCCAGTGTTGTTACAATAAATCATAAATACAAATTCTGTTAAATACAGATGTTTATAAAAGTAAATTACATAAATACTTCTAGAATTAAAATGTTAATAGTACTAGTATATTTTGAGTGGGGCATTATAGATTATACTTTCTTCATGCTTTTTATTTTCATTATTTTTTACAAGTATGTATCACTTTCATAATTGGAAAGAAAAATAATGAGGGTAAAAATTAACAAAACAAAAAAGCATATGACAAAGACCCTTGAAAACTTTGGAAGATGCAGACCTGTGAGGTGTTGGCAGACATAATCTCACTCTTTAGTGTCCAGGGAACAAGTGTTCCCTGGAAGAGAGACACACTTTTGGAGGATGTTTTTATTTTAGCTTTTCTTGTATTCAAAACACCCGCGAGGTGAGTACCTGAGCTGTACCCTCTGCCCTGGGACACGGCAGGGCGTGAGCCAGTGGCCATGGACCTGGGTGAGCGCTGAGGCTTTCTTCAGAGTCCTTTCTCCCAGGATCAGAGTGGGACCTCCTCAGTACTTGCGTCAGCCATCAAGCCACAAGGCCCACGGTCCCCAGTGGCACCTGACCCAGCAGGTTCAGTCTGTGGGCATCAGTCATTGCTCCCGGAGCTGCAGGAAATCAGGCACTGCGGACATGCTTCTGGAGACCAGGCCCCTCTGGTTCCTAAATTGCTTTTTCCTGGTTGTAGCCCAGCCCCCCTCTCGCCAGCCACAGTGCTCCAAAGGTGAGAGCTGATGCCTGATGCCCCTGTGCCGGGGTCTCATTTACAAATACCGCAAGCCTACTTTCCTCCCTCTGCTTTGAGGTATTGTTAACTACAGCCTAATTGCTGCTGCTTCATTCTGCCTTGGGTGTTCTGCCTTCTCGGCTGACTTCCAGATTTCTCCTGAGGGTCAGCAAAGGAAGGGGCCAGTATTAACACTGGGCTGCCTTGTTACTAGGAGACCTGGTAGCCATAGTAACTGCAGCTAAGCGGAGATTTGAAATGTAGATATTTGGAACAGCCCCTAATCCCAGCCAGTTTTGCTTTGTGTCTGCCGTGCCATCTCCCACATTAGGAAGGGCAGGGCCCCTTGCAGGGAATAAAGAACACCTCCCCTTCCATGGTCTGCTCCGTGGGGCTTGTGCATGGCTGCTGGCCCTGAGGGGTCAGGCGTTTGCCTGATGCTGCAGCTGTAACCCAGGCTGCCTGCAGATGAGCAAAGCTTTTCTGTGAGCTGCAAACCAGCTGGGGCCCAGAGCACTATAGGTGCTGGGTAACTGTTGACTCAGTGCGTGTAGACGAGCTGTTGGGGACTGAAGCCTTCCTAAACTCCCCTCTCCCTGGGATCGGCTCGGAAAAGGAGAGCGATTCCTTCCCTATTCTGTGCCCTGGAAGTAAGCTGCCAAAGGGACCACCTTTCAGGTACCTGTGAGCCTCCTCTTAAGGGGCAGACATCGCCCACAGTGCGTCTGTGAAAAGATCCACAAGAAGGGCTGCCTTTCCGCTCCATGCTTTCATACCTTTTAAATTTCATGTCGTGCATATATTAAAAATGAATTTTAGTGGAAGAGTTATGCCAACAAAGGTAAAGCAGGGTTCCCAAACCTTGTGTTTTTGGACATTAATTTTAAGTGTCCGCAGTTGGAGCTGCATGATCTTTGTTTTTAAATTGAACCCAGCAGAACTACATGCAGGATGATCCCCACCCTCCCCACCCAACCCCCCAGCAGATAATTCCTAGGTCAGTCCCTCCTTCAAACCTAGGAGAGGCAGTCTTCATGCCCCACTGTGGTGTGAGCCTTTCCGCCACTCAGTCCCAAGGGAAAAAGTTAATGGTTTTGAACAGGCCCGTGTTGGAGTGTTTCGTCCGGCTGCTGGGGGCTTCTTGGATTGACCGGGGCACCACGGTGGCGAGCAGGCATGCGCTCCCATTTTGTAGACTGAGTATTGGGCCTGCAAAGGCTTTGCGTGGGTGGGGAACAGATGTTCGTTCCAAAAGCATGAAATTATGACTGACTCGGAGCATTCACTGGAAAATAAGGTAGAAGTCAGTTTGGGCACCATGCTCCTTAAACGGGAGACCACCTGTAGGCTCTTAAGTGGTTACATGTTCCCATTTAGAGTCCATGGCCCACACGTGGGGTCCCCCTTCCCCTTGGAAGAGCGCCCTGGTCATCCCTGACTTGTCTTCTAGTAGAAGAAGCACATGGCATCTGGGGTGGTTTAGCCCCTTCCTGCGTCACTGGGCAGACCCTCTGGGATCCAGCATTGCCAGGACCCGGTGTCCAGCCCCAGCTGCCAGCACCCTGGCTGCAAAGACATAGCTACCCCAGGGCGTGCCCTGCACTCGCTCAGGCCAGAGCTCCCATCTGGGCAGGAATGGGTTTGACCTCAGCCCCTGGAACCCACTGAATCAGCACCCACTCAGCCCTCTGTTCTCTGGCATTCCATCTGGGTGGGTTGAGTCCTGTCTCTCTTTTTTTAAAAGTATGTTGAGTATATAATTTTATATTTGTTATATTAGTTTTAGGTGTAAAATGTAACGAGTATTTGAGCCACAGCACACAGGACTGTCCAGAAGCTGCCCGCCGTCTAGGTCTGAAGGAAGGGCCCTGACAGGTGTTGAGCCGCACATGTCTGAGGCGCCTCTGAGCGTGGCCCCAGGAGTGAGTGACAGCTGCAGAGGGGTCTCGCCTGCCCCCTGGGTGACCATCACCTGGTGAAAACTCCAAGCAGAGATGTTTTCATTGGCCTGCATTTCCCAAGCTACGATAAAGGCTTGGTTTTCTTTTAATTTCCAGGTGAAAGTGGGAGATACACTGGATCTTCTTATTGGAGAAGATAAAGAAACAGAAACAGAAATAGTGATGCGGATTCTCCTGAAAAAAGTGTTTGAAGAGAAGACTGAAAGTGAAAAATACAGAGTGGTCTTACGACGTTGGAAAAAGTTAAAACTGCCTAAAAAGAGTGCAGTTAAATAAATGATTTTTTTTTTTTAAGTCATAAAGCTACTGTCTTAACGGTGGGGAAAGGAACTAGCTCAGAAAACAGACATTTTTATTAAAATAAAGTTCTCCTACCATTTGTGGAATCTACTGGGCTATCTTGTGGAAATTAGGATCCATACCTCAGAGATACTACCCGTGGCCTGGATTTTCCTCCCGGGCTTCATCTGTGCTTACTTGGACCTGCTGAGCATGAGTGAAGTGTGTGCTGAACGAATGAAGCCCAGACAAGGTTTCAGTGATCGGCCTGCTGTTGCCCTGTTAACTACCTCAGGAGGCAGTGTAAAATAAACTGGCCTGGTTGTCAGTGTTTTTACTCCAGTTTTATCACTGTTGGCCAGCTTCCCTGGGTTCAGGCTTCTTAAAGTAAAACCAAGCCAAGTGAAGGCCACCCTTCAGAGTCTGGGGGAGCACAGGGAGACCCAACTCCCCTGGCCTTTCTGAATTACCAACATGTTGGCCTTAGCTCCCCCTTCAGTTTGTCTTCAGAAGTCTGGAGGAGTCAAGTTCCACCTAATTCCAAATGGGAAATCAGTCAGGGCCCATTTAAAACTAATTGTCTGGGGCAGGGGTTGATAAGCCAAGTCAACCAGGGGCCTTTTGTATGGCACTCAAGAATATTTTTTACATTTTTAGAAAGTTGTTTAAGAAATAAAAAGGAATATATGACAGAGACCTTGTGTGACCCACAAAGCCTAAAATATTTACCATCAGACCCTTTACAGAACAGTGATGGTCCCCTGCTGTGTAGGGTAATAAGCTGAGGGTTTCATTTTCAGGTGAAAGTAGAAAATACACAGATTTTTATCAATGAAGAGAATAAAGACTCAGGAATTAATTCTAATTCTCGAGTTATAAAAGGGACAACGCCTAAAAATACAGAGTAGTAGTAGGTACACGCAAATACAGGTCAGCTAAGGAAAGGTCATCTGCATCAGTAAGTTGGTCTTTAGATTCCTAGGATCCTAAAGCACTGGAAGGGTCAGCTCAAATCGAGAACTAGGTTAACCACCACGCAGGGGAACTTCTGCAGCCTGGAGCAGTGGGCTGTTTGTGCCTATGAGTCTGGATGTCTAACCAGCTCAGATTTCAGAAGACCTGGGAACATCAAGTTTTATTTGAAAGCTTAAATAAGTTCACAGGAAGAAATGATAGTATATCCTGTGCACTGTGACGGGATTTTTCTATTTTACCACTTACTAACTGGGCTTTACCAAGTCAGTGAAAATAGTATGTTTAATTTCGACATGAGTTAGTTATGAATTGTAATTTAGAAGATCGATATCCATACTTTTTTTCTCATTTCCTTTACCTCTGTACCTTTTTCACTCTCCCTCTCCTTTCTCCCCCTCCCTTCCTTTTCTCTCTCCTCTCAACTTGGAAAGTAACAAAGTCCAGGAAGTCTTGGGTGGGGAGGGACAACATGATTTAGTGATGTGTTGGGGGTCCTGGTTTTCTGGCTCATTCTTGCCATTAGCAAGTTGGGTTATCTTGGTCATAGTTTGGCCTCAACCTCTCTGAGCCTCAGCTGCTTCATCGGTCAGATTGGGATCAGGCTACTACTTTACCTGTCTCTTTGAAGGAGGAAGAAAGTTAAAATGTACAAAGCTGATAAATTGGTGGTAACTAGAGAGCAGGAAGGGCCATGCAAAAGGCTTTTTGAAGCTATTGGTAATCAGTACCTAACTTAGCTACTGGGCAGGGTTTGGCCCATTCCAGATGTCTGTCTTTAAACAGCAAACTGAGAAGATACCTGATGATGGAGAATGTTGGTTTGATCACAGCACGTGGCAAAAACTGATTAGAAACAAGCAGCTCATAAAGATTTGTGAAACTCGCAGCTCACTCATTACTCCACCCAAATGACAAGCTGCTATTATTTATAATGCTGTCCTGGCAAAGCCGCCTCAGTGAAAATGTGGCCAACATGACGTTAAAAGATTTGGACGTCTCTAATGCATTGATTCTCCACTGGGGGTGATTTTGCCACCCGGGTACATTTAGCGATGTCTGGAGATACTTTTGGTTGTCACAGCTGGGCAGGGCGGGGGAGGGATGGGCATTGAGTGGGTAGAGACCAGCGGTGCTAGTAAACACCCTGTGGTGTACAGACAGCCCCCAAACAAAGAGTTACCTGACGGGCATGTCCGTAGTGATGAGGTTGAGACAGCCTGCTCTAATGGGATGGCAAGGGAGGTTTTTGTCAATAGCTCTTGTTTTCTCAGGTAGATAAGAAAACGCTTCTTAGTGTTATGTTTGCATTTTTTAAAGAACGAACAATTTCAAAGTTATGCCTTGGTAGAGGCCCATCTAGCCGTTTTACCAGTAACAGTTAATCCTTTCAAAGAAATAATGCTCTTGAAATATGAAATATGATGCTAATTGCATTTCTCTACAATTTATATCTTTCCTGGAAAATTACGTAGGCTAGGCAATAGTTTCATTATTTCTTTAGCATTTGGGGGATAAGTCATGATTTATCTGGTCAATATGATTGGGGAGGTAGAAACATAACTACCATTTTTCAAGAAACTAAAAAAAAAAAAACATTTCAGTTGGGATGATAATGCGTGTTCCATGAGTCTTAAAGAGGGTGCAGTATAACATTCTAGTAAAGTTCTGCTTTTTTCAAGAGAGGAAAGGAGGGAGAAGGAAAGGGAGAGAAACATTGGTTGCCTCTTGTGCATGCCCTGATCGGGGACTGAACCTGCAATCCAGGTGTGTGCCTTGACCAGGAATTGAACCAGCAACGCTTTGCAGGATGACGCCCAATCAATGAAGCCACACCGGTCAGGGCTCTGCCTTATCTTGGCCATACATACTTTGGCTTTCAAAAAGTTACTGTGAAAATTACCAGACAATTTACTGATGATCTCAGGGAGTAGTGAAGGAAACTATAAAGTCCAAGCAGACTCAGGAGAACAAAATATGTGTCTCTCAAACTACTTTCTTGATTTTTGAGAGAGAGAAATAGCAATTTGTTGTTCCACTTACTTATGCGTTGATTGGTTGATCCTTGTATTTGCTTTGACTGGGAGTTGAACCCACAACCTTAGTGTTTCTGGATGATGCTCTAACTGGCTGAGCTACCTAGTCAGGGCCAAACTGCTTTCTTTCAGTGAATCACATCAGTTGCTTGAAATCAGCCTTAGCCAGAGTAGTCTCACTTTGGAAATCAGTAAACACCATGAATGAGGGTTTATTTTTCCCTTGGAGAGCTAGTTAAACATTTACCAACACACCACTGGGTGAAATGGGTACTCACACTACGTTTTCCCAACAGGAAGCGCCCTATCGCCAGGATCCACCCTCCAAGTTCTGTCAAGTTATTTTTTTTTCTTTCTTGTTTTCATGTATTTCCACAGGTCCTCTGTTATTTTGGCCGACTATTCTTATGTCTGTAATGCATATCTTTTTGTATGTATTCTTGTAAAATGTGTTTTGCTGTTATGTGCACATATATTTAAATCTCATAAATGGCATTACATTTCATTTTGTACTTTTTCACTCAGAATAGTTTTTAAGATCCATCCATGGCACTATAGGTACTTCTAATCCATTGCTCCTCTCTGCTGCATACTAAATCCCAGCGTGCATCCACCGCAGTTTGCCTGCCCACTCTCCCAGTGACTTTCTCCCGACTCCACCACCCGTAACAGCACGTGCTTACTCTCCACAGTGGCTGCACCAGCCTGCCCTCCCACCAGCAACACACACAGCCCCGGGCATGACCAGCTTTCTGACTTTTGCCAGTCGAATATAGGTCTAAAGAGGCACAGTAACTTGTAACATACACTCTTCATAAGTTCTCCTTTCCTATGCACAGTCCCAGCCGGCTGCTCCTGCTATTTGGTAGCTGCTACTACCCAGTCTATTGCTTGTGATTTCTCAGAGGGCTCTGAGATGGAGTGCAGCCGTCTGAGACCGCCACTGTCTTGTTGCTCTCAAAGACATGCTTGCTGGCCTGTAAAGTTTTTTGTTCATCATTATTGCTTAGCACACCAAGTATGTCAAAAGCAGGATGGTGAAAATCTACAACTTTGCAAGGTCCTGAGGACATAGGTCACTCACAAGGCACTTGTTGATGCTGTTGCAGAGATGTCAACTGCATCCAGTGGGCTTTCCATCTGGGGAGTTCATTTTTAAAGCTGGAGAGACTCTCCCCAAGGCAGACAAGAGAAGCCACGAAGACGGTAGTTGGGGTAGAACAGCAAGTGTCTAAAACGGGCAGTTTCTATTTAGAGGTCTGGACTGGTCACACCCATTTCTGGAACCCTGCTCAGAGGGGTTAGATACTATGAGGTGCTTCCCCCACAGGATATATAGAGAATTTTCTTTAGGATTGTAAGGGAAATCCCATAAGTCTTGATTCTGAGACAAAGATCAGGCTAAAATGATAGCAGCCAGCTCCGGATCTAAGCAACACAGTAACTGTTAATGACCTGAAGAGAAGGCACCCGCCACTATGGGCCTAATGTATGTGCTTTGTCATGCCTGGAACTGCGCCTGCGCTGAGATTTCAGCTTGTCAAATCCAAGGAGACTTGGGCTTCATACCTTGTGTCAGAAATAGCAGGCATTGAACCCCAGAAAGATTAGGGCTACTGAGTTCTGCAGCCAGCATTCACAGCATATGTGGCAACTGTGTTCCAGTCTAAGAAACACGAGAGTCAAGAAACTGCAGACCCGCAGGTGTGCCTCCGGGCAGAGCGGAGCCCAGCCCCACCAGGAATGTGGCTTCGGCTGTCTGCACAGAGGGGAAGAGCCAAGGTCTCAGTCTGCTTATACCCACGTGTATCTGGAAAGTCAGTTTCAGGCAAGAGAACTCAGGTTTTGTTCTGTTTACCATCAGAACCTTCCCTCCAAACTCCAATAGGTTTCTTAACTACCAACTAGTGAGGCTGGGACTTGTTGGAATCATGGAACAGTGCCCAGGAGATAGCAGGTGTTACAAATACTTTTGCTGAGTGAACTTCCTTTAGAGGCAGAGATGATTCTTCCTGCATTCCTTGTTCTATCTCCTGTGGCATTAAAAGCATCCGTGGGTCAAACACTCTCTCACTTGAATGGATCCAGAAGCTCAGAGACTGTGCACAGTTAGCAAAAG